CCATGCAAGTATCACAGAGACAACTAGCATACCACATAACACGTAATGGGTCGGCATTGGTACCTTCGACCCATGGATATAGTGAGGAGACTCACCTAGATCGAAGAACCCTGAAACACTACGACACGATCCCTTCTCTACACTGCTTGAACCCACAAAACCACTAATACCAGAGCCAGATAACATCTTAGTTAATAGATCAAAACCCTCAAGTTTGGCCCAAGGTAACACTTGATCAAAAGTCTGCGGTCAACGGAAGTCAAAGTCAACAAGTCAAACTTCAAACTGAGTACGCCCAGCATACTCAGCTCGTACGCGTGGCTTACTTACCAACCAGAATCGGGACCCCATACGAGTACGACGCAGCGTCCTCGAAGGTACGCCCGGCGTACCCGACCAAATGGCACTTTTCCATTAAGTGCTTAATCTCTTAAGTCCTTTCATCCAACACTCGGATCTAGTCCCACAGCATCATTCTAAGTCATAAAGTTTCCACATTTATGACTTTCCATGTCTAGAAAATGTCCAAAAGCTAAAACCTTAACTTATTAATCCATTAAGACATCATGACACTCGCATGGAAGGTATAGAAAGATCAAGAATACATTTTTATGGATCCTAAAAGCTCCATAATGGATAAAGTTTCCAACTTTATCCATTAGAATGGTCCAAACCACCAAGATCTAGCCTTTAAGCATCAAATGGGACCAAAAGTGCATCTTTTTCAACTTAATCCATTAAGTCCAAGTCTCCAACCTTCAGGTCTGAATCACAATGATGTTTAGATGGATAAAGTTTCCAACTTTATCCATAACAAGATCACAAACTTTCAAGATCTAAACTTTATGCACTAAATGACCAAAATCTCATAACATCCAAAACTAGCTAAATCTAACAAATGCATCATCAAGATGTAAACTTTATACCTCTAGAAGATAGATCAAGGTGAACAAAGTCCATATCTACAAGCTCCAATGCAACCAACACTTCTACAAGAAGTTCCTTCTTTTCCAAGGCGCACCATGCATACTCCAAATCACTCAAAATCACGTTCTTTTAGCTCACAAGTCTCATCTAAGGTTAGGGTTTCATGAAAGGGGTGTTGGAGGGGTGGAGGCAGAGAATGGAGTGGGTTTGGGGGAGTTAAGGAGCTTAAATAAGGCTCAAACAACGAAAATAGAGTTTGGGCACTGATTGTGTATGCCCAGCGTACTCCTGGTATGCCCAGCATACTCAGGATTCCCTTAGTACGCCCAACGTACACCTTTTTGTACGCCCAGCGTACTCAACTTGGCCCAAAACCACCCAAACTTCAAACGGTTATAACTTCTTCGTTCTAACTCTGATTTTGATGTTCTTTATATCCACGGAAAGGTATTGAGAAGCTCTACAACCCTATCTAATTATTTTTGGCTTAAAACACATCGAACTAAAATCCATAATTCATAAAAGAAGTCTGAAACACTACATTCCCATTTTACCCTTTAACTCCAAAGTGCAAACTGAACTATTGGATCACATATCTACATTACCCACATCCAAATAGGCCTAAATCTTACCTTTTCAAAGGCCTTAATCCTTATGATGACCGCTCTTCGGGCCACAGCCTCGAATTAGGAATCGATTCGGAACAGGGCGTTACAGGAAGTAACTAGTCTTGTACACAACAAGACTTTACGGTGCAAGGAACTGAAGAGACAAAATAACATCTATTACACACAAGTTGTATTTATTTCTCATCAAAGAACTAGAACAAAACAATGCCAAATATGGCTTATATGTGAAAACCAAATAACGGGAAATAAACTACTCAGTAGTCACTAACACAGTAAGACTACCACTAAAACTAGACTAAGTCATAAACATAAACAAGGAAAGCACATGATCATAAATAACATAAAATGATAGAAACGTGAACGTATAAATCCTACACATGAGAGGTGTTGCCACGTTGATAACGGTAATGTGGGTCTTATGTGGACTTAAAATATACAACAATGTGGTTGTTATATAGGCCTGGGAAAAATCTTTACGAAAGCTGATACGAGGGTTAACAAAAACACAATCAAAGTGCCTAATTTTGGCTAGAATATCTCATAGAAAAAAATCAGTTAATAAGGCTAGTGTAAGTCTAAGAAGAATAAGTGGATGGGGGCTTTATAAAAATGTTTAGAAAAACATACAAGAAGGCTATATAGGCTTTGATAAGAAGGTTGGTTATGGGAAACATTCAGAAACATTAGGGTTTTAGATTTAAGATATGATTCTTTTTTGTTGGCTTTTTGTAAAGCTCATTAGATGCAACGTTTCTATTCATTCCATCGTTCTTCTCCTTCATAATAACAACAATTTAGAGCTCTTGTACCTCCCTTCCATTGAAGTTTATTCAAGTTTCCCAAATTTGGATTTCCACTCTATGTCTTGGTGTTCGATTGTTGTTGCTTTGAGTTTATCTTTTTACAACACCATTAAGTTCATTAGTCACAAATAAACAACCCCTTAAATATCTCTTTCGTGCATTTCTTTTTTAATCTTTTTGTGGGTCTCATATGTTCCCAAGAACTCTAAAGGGTGAGAATAGTTGAATGCATATAAACAACTATGATCAAGATTTTATATAAATGGTCTCATTTTGTAGAAGAATAAGGTTATATGATCTTTTCCAAAAATCATTGTAAAATTATTTCATAGTGAATTAAGCAACTTCGTTCCTTTAAGTACAACAACAAGAGCAATTGCTATAACTAAAAGCAAAATCATAATAGAAATACAAATCCATTTTCTTGACTTCTTCTGTAATTTCTTCACTTTCTCAAGGGTTTTATTGCCACTTTCCACATGATCTACCGCACTCGACACCTATCATTGAAAACAAATTTTGGATCTTTTTATTATAATTAAATAAAACTAAATTATCTTAGTTTGAATAAGAGTTACCTGTGCCTCTATGTTGTCTAGAATTTCCCCTTGGGAATCCACTAGAATAGCGAAATCTGTAAAGATCTGCAAGCCCACCATCGAAAAAAAAAAGATACTAAAATAAATTACACATTAATGCTTTTGTTCTTGACATTATAAATGGCACCATGTTCATTGAAAAACTAACTCAAGTTGAGTTCTTGATCTACAAAACTATATGCACACCTGTTGCAAATCAATAAGCTTCCTTTCTACTTCTATTACTGCATCATGTCGTTCTTGAATCTCTGCAAGTGTGTCGATCACCTGTAGATGCACAACTATTGGGAAAATGGTGGCAAAGATCCCCAACAACCCTATCTCAACATTACTAAAGAAAAATAGAAAACTAACCTGACCTCGTCCTTGTTCTTGAATGGCTTTTTGGTAAATTTGTTCGCTATTTCCTGTCTCTATTAGTTGATCAATTGTCTAGTGAAAATAAGTAACGATCAGCACACGCGCCCAAATTGCCATTTTTAAAATAAGTTTTTAAGAAAGAAAGATACCTTACCTCTTCATCGGCTCTAGTTCCAGTTACTAACAACAATTAAAGAAAATAATTACATTTAGATGGATAATATGCAAGCATGCATGTTTATGGTAATTGGTAAGTTAATTACCTGTAAAGACGCGTCTTTCAACAACCTCACGATACTCTTGATGTATGCTTTCTCTTAGACTCTGAAATCCTATCACTTTTTCTTTAAATTTCTTTTTCAAGGATCTGTAAAAAATGATCAATGTCAAAAAATAAAAAGTATAAGATAATAATATAAGTATATAACATGATTTATTACAGTGTAGTTGATGTTCTTGATCGGTCTACTCCAGTTCCTTGTCCACATCCGGGTTTTTGTCTGTTGGCTAAGTTCTTACTCCAAAAATTAAAGATTTAGGAATTATCAATTATAAATTATAAATTATAAATTCATCAAGATCATTCTCTAACCTCCTTGTCAAGTTCCTCGATTTTTGCTTTAATAAAACGAGCAATTCTTCCAACTTCATCAACATCATTCTCCATTCGTTTCTTGATTGCTATCATGTTCATGAAATTTTAACAAAAAAGTTAAATAGTTCTATAAAAATATATTTGAAGGTCACCTTTCATGGCTACAGCCTTGGTTACAGATCTTGATTCTTCATGAGCATCCTGCATTGATTGTTTATAAGAAATTAACATATTCTAGTAATTACTAAATTCACACCAATCTAGTAATTAATATACACCTGTAGTTTTTTTAAAAGTTTATTAAGCTTCTCAAATTCATGCTCGATGCCTTGAACCTTTCTGAAGAATTCATCCAAGTTTAACTCTGCAGATTGCATTCCAGTTTCTATATCTCCACCACCATAGCTGCATCTTTGTGGGCTTTTTGAATTCTACAAACCAGCATTTCAAAAGGGTAAAAAAAAGTGATAGAAATCGAACTCAAACAATCTCTAACCACTAAAAGATGTAATTTTCCCAAATTAATTTCCCGCGTTTCACAGATGAATTGGGTTTACGTAAATAACGATATTTGATACCGACTAAGAGAAGATTGATTTGAAACATTAACGTGAAATTTACAATGCACAGAAAATCGAAACCTCAGAAAAGAACTCGAATTACGATGAAAAAACTTACACATAAAAGGTCGTTCATGGCGGATTTGAGGTAAATTCCAATTAATTGTTCTTGTTTAATAGTTTCGTTATCGTGGATTTGAATTTGAGATTGGGTTTATTGCGTGATGAAAGAACGAAAAAGAGAAACATGCATAAGAGAAGAGATACAAATCAATGAGGAGAGAGAGTGTTGTGGGGGGGTGAAACTACAAGAGCGAGAATCGTGAATGCATAGTTTTGCTGAATTTTCAGTTGTATCGATAGATTGTTTTCTTTTTTACATATACAAGATGACTTATTTGGTCTTACAAAACCTTTAGCTTTTAAAGAGATATTGCAATAAAAACCATAATAATTGAAAGAAAAAAAAAATATTGGACGCAATGTAAAAAGACCATAAAAAAGGTAATCTTCTTTGAACCAAGTACACATAATGACATAAAAATAAATAAATACGAAATAATAATCCCTAAACGAACATACATTACATTTCTTCATATAACAACCTAATTAAACCGGTTGAGTTGTAAGCCCATATCCAAACGGGTACAATGGGTCATAATGCGGGTCACCCACATTCATAGGAAGCTGATCAACAGTCTTAAACCAGGTCCGGGCCAATTTGCCCGTGAACCCATAATCACCAAACAAAACATCCGCCACACCTTGTCCCTCACTCCCGGGGAGCCAAGCCGCCACCAAAGCATCCATTGTAGAAACATACGGTTCGATCACAACGGGTCGACCCGAAATAAGCACCACAACACACTTCAGGGCCCCACATACATTTGTAATCGTGGTGGGGCCCGGTTCGGGGACAGTTAGATTCAAACTGTCCCCAACTGTTTCAGAATACGGGTATTCACCTGTTACAACAATCGCGTATGAAAAATTATTTGATTTGATGAATTCGGGCGTCGGGTTTTCTTGATAGATAACTTCGGTTTGTGGGTCAACCGTGTTCTTGATTGCGGATAGAATGGTGGTTCCGATTGTGATATTACCACTTTGCCCATGCCACTCGATAGTCCAGCCGCCACATTGGTTGCCTATGTTGGCGGCATGGCTGCCGGAAACTAGTATTTTGGTTGACTTTTTGGGGAGGGGGAGGAGCGGCGGGTCGCCGGATTTCCCATTTTTCAACAAGACTAAAGATTTTCTTACTGCTTCTCTAGCCAAATCTCTATGCTCCTGTTGTGTTTTATCAATTTATAAATCAAACAGATCGGTCAAAAGTCAAAAATCAAAATTCAAAATTCAAAAGTCAAAAAACCAAAAGTCAAAATTGAAAACAATAGTCAACGCGATACCTGAATTCCAAGGTATTTGGCCATGGCGAGATCTGCTAACGGGTTTTCAAACAAACCCATTACAAATTTGACCCGTAATATCCTTCTAACTGCATCATCGATTCGGGTCATGGGGATGAAGTTGTTCTTGACTAAATAAGTCAAACCATCGATGAATTCTGTGTAGTTATATGGCACCATGATCTGTAATCAATCAAATAGTGTAAGTGTGATCCAAATCTTGCGACTAATTCTGTAATTTGTTTCAAAGATGGAGAACTAACTCCTAATTACTAACCATGTCAAGACCAGCTTCAACGCTCTTTAAGATCGAAAAAGTGTAATTAGCATGAGGTGGATCTGTGATTCTATCAATCCCTTGCCAATCCGAGATCACAAATCCCTGAAAAACCATGAAATTATCAAACGATTCGATCTTTGTTATTCAATTTGAACGATAACTACTTTGAAAAACTAGGGTTTACTCTGAATTTGACGGTGTTCTTGAGGAAATTGGTAACGAGTTCATGATCCCCATGCATTCTGACTCCATTTAAGCTCGAGTAAGAAATCATAATAGTCGAAACGCCTTTAAGAACCGAATCGTAATACGCAGGCATATGAATGCTGAATAATCCATGGCGGTTTATGACTGTGTTGTTCTCGTTAATGCCTTTCGTTGTGCCACCATCTCCGACATAGTGCTTAGCACAAGCTGCAACATTTTTCCTGTGATCAAAGACGAATTCATGAAGATAACAAGTCGTTATGATCAAATATTCAAATTCCGATGATGTTTATGTGAGAATCTTACTGTCCACCAACAAAAGGTACGCCTTTCCGATCATTAGCCGGAATGTCTCCCTGTAATCCGGGAATAAGCTCAGTCATCTGACGAACAATTGCAGGATCTTCACTGTAACTTTCAAAGCATCTACCCCATCTCGGATCCCTACAAACCTGTCAATCGATTCATGAAAAAAAAGCGTTTAAATTTGTTTAAATTTCTGTACTTTGTGGTTTGTTGATCATTTACCGCGATACAAGGTGCAAATGCATAGTTGATTCCAGTTGCTCGAACTTCAAGAGCAGTGGCAACTCCGATTTTCTTGATGAGCACAGGGTCCCTGTATCATCATTACAAGTGAAATTACTTAAATATCCTTGAATACCATTGCTGTTAATCGTTAGAAAGGGTAAAAGAGTAAATTTGATTTGAGGAACGAGAAACTTGCCTTGTTACTCCAAGACCTACATTGTGAGGAAAGATTGTGGCATTGTAGACATTGTTGTTGCCATGAACAGCATCGATTCCATAGATCATCGGAATACCTAAACGAGTTGCCAGTGACCCTTTTTGGAATTCGTTCACCATGTTAATCCATGTCTCTGGCGACGCCTCTTTCGCCGGAACACTCCCTCCGCCGCTCAACACACTCCCTGAAAACAAACACGGATCATAAAGATGAAATTCTTAATCGAATAAACGAAAAAGTAGGGATTTTGATTGATTACCGATGAAGTATTTCTGCATTACATCAGCGGAAGCTACAGATCTTTCAATCTGTGTCATCTGACCGATTTTTTCCTCCAAAGTCATTCGTTTCATCAAGTCTTTGATTCGAATGTTTAGTGGTTGTTTTGGGTCTTTGTATTTCATGTTTTTTGAAGCAGCAGCCATGGAAGCCGAAAAACAGGAACACATCACAAGGATCACCAAAGCAAATGGTGAAAGCTTTGACATTTTTTTTTTTTACTTCAATAGCAATCTACAACTGTTAATGTAAGAATATATATTCAGAAAACCAAATTATAAGCAACAAATCTAGAATGAAATCAACAAGAAATAAGCAAGAGCTCAAAAGCTAAATACCATACAGAAAAATCCAAGGAAAGAATCATAATCTTTATATTCTGTTAGCCTTAAAATAAATATAAATAAAATACCATTTTCAAATATTTTTCAAACGTTTGAATGTTTTGCTAAACGGCTACAATCCCTTCGCAAAATATGTGAAATCTTGTGGACCCAATCAAACATGATCATTACTTTACAAACATACAAAAAAGAAATCGTAAAACAGGAAAGATCTTATTTTGAACAAATAGGTTAATTAATACTCCAGAAAACCCCAAACGACATTCATGAAACAGGAAAACAAAGAAAGGTAAAACAAGAAACCCTTAAAATGTATGTAAGGAAAGTTAAAGAAAGGAAGATTAGAGAAAGTTACAGAGAATGAGAGCTTGAAGGAGCTTTGAGGGTATCGAGAATGGCGTTTATGGAGAAGGAATTGGAGAATGTGGGCGAGAAATAGTGGTTTTTATAGGGAAGTGTGTTTGTGTTTTTGAATTGGGGTTTTGAAATGAATTCGTGGGGATTAAGGATTAAAATTTGTTTAATGTTCTTTTGACCGGGTGTTTAACGTCTAGTTATTGACATTAAGTGCCAAGATGATGATTACAAGTTCAAAGTTCAAACAACATTCATTTTAGATGATTTTGTTGAAATTTGTTTATACTAAACAACAACTATGAAATCAACAATGGATTTGTCTATATGAAAGCTTTTTTTTTTTGGAATTATTTTATAAAAAAGAACTTCAAATAAAAAAATCTTACTTTATTTGCATATTAGATATTGTTATTTATGGGTATCGTTATTTTGTTTTTATTAAAAAAATAATAATAATAAGAATGACCCTCCTAAAAACAATGTTTTGGCCAGCTTACTTGCACCACAACTAATCAACTAATCAGTAATCACCGTGAGAATATAGCTTCATGGCTACATGAGCAAATGACAACAATCGGATTAAAACTCTGATAAAGTGGTTATTTTATCATTTTATTGTTATTTGTTTATTTTTTTTATTTATAATTGATTGACCCATTAAATCATTGAAAAATCTCATGGCAAAAATATTTTAATTAACAAAAAACTTTGGTTTAAAAAAGTTGATTTAATAGTTTTTACCTCATCCACTTAAAGCCTTAATATAGTTGATTATGTAGTATTGTAACATCCAATTTTTCTAATATAAAAATAAAAATAAAGTCTCACAATTCTTCCAAGATCGAATCCGAAAACTTACTACAACCAAACTGATGTATCGATAACTAGTCTAAAGTAAAGGAACATAAATAATACACACATACTATCCTTTTCATTATGTTTCAGCTTCAGACATTTGTCTTCGTTTTGCTATTGTCAATATCAATAACGAGGTATCCTAGGTTGTATATATTTTCAAAATAGAGAGGGGTCACCTTAAGGCCTAATGAGTCACTATTTTATGCACGGGGATATAAAGGGAACAATACAAAATTCCACAAATTATCTAAACACTAAAAAGTTAAGTCAACCTACATACTCAAAGACTTTCGATCAGCTTAGTAAACGATATTTAGTGGTTGTTGTGATCAAGATAAGTTGGCACTCAATCCTTTTTAACGACTATTATTAGGTTTTACATTAATACATGTTAACATGTATTACTTTTTCAGATAAGCTGCAATATTGTATACAAAATGCATTTTAGTCTCTTTTCTAGCTAAATATAATATTCCAACGCATCCCACAAACTAAGCATGTTAACCATCTAACATATACAAAATACAAACACAAATGTTCATGCTGTCATGCAATTTAAAAGTTTATGGCATTCGAGGCATAAGCTATCAGCATATTTCAAATTATAGCAAAATATAGTGGAACAATGGGAGAGGTGCCCTCTATAAATGCAAGAAATAATATTGGAGTGGGGTTAATGGGTTATGGGAAAACTTCTCCCATACGTCCTATAACTCTTCAAATGTAACCTTATCTCAAAATTCAAATTCGAATTTACCCTTCGTTTACTTGGTTTTCACAAGTACACTTGTATATAAATTACTACATATCCAATATAAAATATTTAAATAAAACATATACTATGCAATTAAATACGGAAAACTTTCAATTAAAATACGATTATTGCCTTATACGAATCTAGATATTACGAAGTTTTGATGCCAACCTTTTTTTTTTTCTTGTTTTGAGTTTCCAAGTAATTTTGTGGAACCATATTCTTTATGTTATGTTTATGTAGGGCTTTTTGAGTGGGCTTTTTGAGTGGTAACCAAATCAATAAACCTATGGCATGAATAATATTTATTGAATATATAAACGAAAATCTCGAAAGAAGTATGTTGGAGATGGTGACCGGATATGGTGGCCTAAAAGGGATAATAACTTGACAGGGTAAAATACTTTTTGAAATGTACACATTTAGTCTTTATTCTTTTTTTTTTGTAAAATAAACCCTTATACTTTATTAATATGTACACATTAGGTCCTTTTCACCGGATTCTACAGGTTTTGCTGACGTGGAAGGGTTTATTTTACAAAAAAAAAAGAATAAGGACTAAATGTGTACATTTCAAAAAGTATCTTACCCTATCAAGTCATTTTCCCTTTCTTTTATTTTGTTGAAATGAAATACCCAGGTGGCATCCACATATCCACAACGAGATTTTTCCAACTTTTATTCATCATGAAAAAGAGGGAGAACCCCAATCTCCGGCGACTCCTTTGTGTGTTCCTACACATCACTGGTAGCAAGGAGGAATGATGGCAAAACAACAAGGTTGAAGGGGGAGGCAGGAGGAAGTAGAGACGGTAGTTGGCGGCGAGGAGCTGCTCTGGTAGCCCCCTCGTCGATTCTTTCTTCTTTTTCTGGCAACATATCTCAAAGATGGAGGCAAAGAGAGACAGATCGAAGAAACACAACAGGTAAAGGGTGTTTGGCTGTTGTTGTTCGACCGGAAGGAAGAGAGACGAGAAAGAGAAGGGTCGCCGCCCTTTTCTTGTTGCTGGAGGATCACCCACCTCCGGTGACTAAGCTAATTAATTGCTATTTAGTGCCACTTGTGCTTCCACATCAGCAAAACCTGTAGAATCCGGTGAAAATGACCTAATGTGTACATATTAATAAAGTATAAGAGTTTATTTTACAAAAAAAAAAAAGAATAAGGACTAAATGTGTACAATTCAAAAAGTATGTTACCATATCAAGTCATTTTCCCTAAAAGAAAATTCGTATATGACCGGTATACCGGGTATAGCCGGTCACAAGGATTACATTGTTACAAAAAATAAAGTATAAGGGTTTATTTTACAAAAAAAAAGAATAAGGACTAAATGTGTACATTTCAAAAAATATCTTACCCTATCAAGTCATTATCTCTAAGTAAAAACTATAATATCATCTGTTAGTTCATCCGTTATACCCACCATTAACCACTATATTGGTGGTTGTCACATCATCACCACATTTCCTACTACTAACCATGGGAGACATACCACTAAACACACCACTTCACTTCATTTTTTTAATTAAATTTAAATAAAAAATACATAAAAAATCATATAACTTTTTTAAAATACTAATTTTCATTAATTTAAAATACCAAATTACATTAATTAAAATACAAAAAATTAAAAAAAACATTAAAAATAAAAATACAACTTCAAACTACATTACTTAATTAACATAGAATAAAAAAAACATTACATTAACTTAAATAACCTAAAAAACATAAAAAATAAAAAATAAAAAACAAACAAACAAACAAACAACAAAACTAATATTCGTTCATGTTGAGTTCGTATAAATAAACTGCGACATCTTCTCGAAGATTGAAACACGTTTCGCTGTTATAAATTTCAACAACTCGTGATAAAAATTCATTCGTTTCGAGTACGAACCCTTCAAGCCGGATGACGACGTCGTCCGGATCGTACGTGCAAATCACTCGACTTTGATCTTCAGTGATCATATTATGCATTATAATACATGCTAGGGCCATTCGTTTAGTTCTATCCTTATCACAATGTCGTGTAGCGTATTTCACTACATGTCACGTTTGCTTGAGGACTCCAAATGCACTCTCGATATCCTTCCTCGTTGATTCCTGTCTCTTTGTGAACAACTTTGCATTTTCACTTCGAGGAACCGAATATGCCTTCATATGTGTAGAATAATCCGGGTATATCCCATCACAAATGTAGTAACTGTATTTGTACGAATGTCTGTTCACCGTGAACGTCATATCAGGTGCTTTTTCGGTCCAAAGATAGTTAAAAAGTGGAGACTGACCAAGAACGTTAATGTCGTTGTTAGACCCTGCGACTCCAAAAAAAGAATGTCATATCCATAAATTATGAGATGCGACAGCTTCTAGGATTATACTTGGTTCGCCTATATCTCCTCGAGTGAATTGACCACACCATGCATTTGGACATTTTTCCCAAGCCACATGCATACAATCTAGACTGTCAAGCATACCCGGAAATCCAAGCCTCTCTTCATGAGCCGAATATAATCTCTCTATATCACGTGGAGTTGGTTTACGCAAATATTCTTGATGAAAAACCTCATATACACATGCGCAAAACCAATCTACACAATCAATTGCGGTCCTCTCGGGTACTTTGAAGTATTCGTCAGATGCATCAAATGATATACCGTATCCCAAATACCTAAGCGCAGCCGCACACTTTTGTATACTACTAAAACCCATTCTTCTTCTAGCGCCGGTTTTTGTTTGAAAAAGTCATAACGGGCTTCTAAAGCATTACTAATACGTAAAAATATCGCCTTATTTAGACGGAAACAACGTTCGAATGCGTCTTCATTGTAAAGACAATTATCGACGAAGTAATCACGTACCAATAAGTCGTGTGTGGCATGACGATCACGATTGACAACCGCCCTTGTACGAGCAACATTCGAACTTTCTTTATCGTGAATGTGTTGCACAACATTGAAGAAGGTCGAGATGAGTTCTCCGTCATCATCCGAGTCAAAAAATTTTAACACTTCCAAATCTTCCATTGTTTGTTGGTTTGGGATGAGAGTAAAATTTGATGAAATGTAAGTGATGAAGTGTGAGAATTTTATTTATGTAGGTATTAAGTTTTTGAAAAAAAAATAAATAATAAATAATAATAATAAACTTAACAGTTTGACCGTTCAAAGGTCAAAAGAATCAAATTCAGTTTCATTGGTCGTTTCATTTCGTCGTCGGGAACACGATACATCACGACCACGACCGACCGGGGTGGTGTGCACGGTCGTGGTTGTGGTCCACGTAAACCACGAGGGTGCCCGTGTCGAGTACACCGGATGGTCTTATACCCACCACTAACCACTATAGTGGTGGGTGCCACATCATCACCACAATACTCACCACTAACCAGTGGATACCGACCACTATATCACTCTTATTTTTTATTTTTAAATAAAAAATATTTGTTTTTTTATTTTTAAATAAAAAATATATTTTTTTTATTGTAGAGAGAGACAGAGAAAGTTAGAGAGAGATGGAGAGAGAA